GCTATTAGAATTCTTGAAAATATATTAGCTATTGCAGGCAATGGCATGCAATAGACAATGGCAATCTATGATATCAACGATGAATTTGATTATCTCCCTGAATCCCTTTAATCTCAAATTAAACCGTAAGGTGATGATTTTGAAAATTTTTTCGTTGCCATTTTTGACAACAATGACTCTATGAGAAATGAAATAGATTCAGCTATTAGGAAATTCGATTAACAATTCACTTAAATAGAAACCATTAAATTGTTCTGGTAACACAGCATATTTTCATAATTTGACTCCCAAAAATAATATAGAAACTTAATTGATTTATTTTATGAGTTTCAAAAGAAGAATTATGATTGTAAGACGAAAAAAATCTGCATCTGTTTGATTACTGATTGTTAGAATGATTATACTAAATTGCATAAACAACTGAAAAGCCTTAAACGAATTGGTAGTCTCATATAACTATCATATGTTACTATAGGTTCATTTTACCCTTAAAACTTATCGAAATGCAAAATAGAAAGATGTAGAACAGAAATCTTAAAAATAGACCTGTCATATTAAATGTGCCAAGGCAGAGGACTTTTGGATATTTTACACCCGCTCTCTGTATAGATTCTTAATTTGAAAAGAGATTCTAAGATTAGAAAAATCATCTCTTTCCTTAGGTCTGAGTTGAGGAACATTAATGGTATAAAAAGGCTAGATATATTGATTTTATTTGCAACAGATAATAATTCAAATTAAATATCTTTTATTCATAAAAAGCTAATTAATTTAATTTATATCAAATTAAACCAAAATTTTAATTAAGTTTAATAAATTCTTACCTTAATTTTTTTTGTTACTCTTATATCAACGAAATCTATTCTTATTTTTTTTTTTTTTTTTAAATCTTGATTTTGATAGATTGCATTTTAAATGTATTTATAGTATCTAAATAGTAAATAATGATATTACATATTAAATCCCTTTTTTAATTTATTAATTTCATAATTTCCTACTCCACTAAAATATATGAAGTTAATAATTATTAGATAATTTTGTCACTTTCCAAAAAAATATTGCTTTATATTCTTTTCTGTATATAACTTAACAGCAACTTTAAAATAGTGATCTTTATAATACTAATAAAAATTCTCATTTAATTCTATTCATATTCCATTTTACAATCCATTCTGATTATTATTAGTGCTTTTATTGTAATTTAAACTCTAAATAATATTTTTTTATACATAATTTTGTTTTAAAAAATTGTATCCCATCTACAAATTTTATACTTAACCTAATTCTCTCCTATTTGAGTAATTTTACATCAGCTAATAATATATAATTCATAATCATCAATAATAATTTTATATATATCAATCCATAATCCAACTTTACTACCAATTATCAAATAAGAAGTAAAGGCTCCTCTATATCTCAAAGAAATCCTAATTTTTATACTTTTAAATATTTTTTTTTTCTGATTTATGTTTAATAGTGCATTAATGAAATAAAATTAAGTTCCTATTACTATTCATTTTTTTTTTGCCATATATCTCAAATTTATTATAAGGCACTTTAAAGCCATAGTAGCATCTATTGATTCTTATCTTAAATTAAAGGTGACAAAAATGGCTATTGCTTTTGAAATAAGACTGGATTTTTGCTTAAAATTGGTCCAAGTGTGTATCGAATTGGAGGAACTCAATTTTAGATGTGATTTTAGGAAATTCAATACTATATAATTTAGAACTTTAATAAAGCTATGAATACTAGATATATCACCTGAAATTAAATATACCATTTTTCAGTTTAATCTTCAAGCAAATCACATTTACATTTTGGTATATTGAATATAATTTGTTTCGAATAAATTCAATCCAAGATTCACTAAAGAGGCAATTGATTAGTTATAGGAAAGCAGCATTCTATCTAAGGGAGAAGAGGTAACTTTGAAAGTAAATTGATATTAATATTTTTAGGGGATACAAATATCAATAAAGATTATGGGACAATTAAGTTTGCTATGCTAATGTTTCCTATTTGAGAAATAATATTTAAACTCATTATAAGAATTAGGATGTGTGAAACAGCGAGAATTAACTACAAACAAATATGTTAATCATTCAAATGTGGATGGATGATATCAAGATTAATTCAAGCCTATGCTTAATAATTTCACAATATTTAAGCTGTAATCTAAATTTAAAGACAAGCTCCCAAAGAATTTGAAAATAATTTGATTTTATTTTTTGCTTAGTTCTTTTCCAAAAAAAGAGGAAATTATTTCAATTCATACTCCAGTTTCAATCATATTTATGATATGAACTTTCAATCATATTGGCTATATAAAATTATATTTTTTCTACTATTATGTCCATTCCTTAGGAAGTTCTAAGCTGTGTTGATAATTCAATTGATTTATAAAATCATATTTTGTAAATTGAGAAATATTTTTCTATCAAAACAACACCTGATAGACCTTATACCTTCAATCATGTGATAATAATATATGTATAATAGTGAGGTAAAGATTGTATTTCATACTGCATAACATTAATCGCCGCATTAATATTTAGACCTTCTTATGTAGACCTAGGGCTAATACATAAGGGAGTTAATAATTTTTATTAGAATAACATATGAGTATCATATTCTTAGCTTTTGCAATCGATTTTTCAAAACATATCGAGTCCCAACTTAGAAAATAGATCTACCATTGTTGCTATTAATTTACCTATAATATCTAGAGATTTACAAGATATGAAAAATAAATTTAATTAATATATAATATCATAATCTATTTATAATTATAAGATTAGCGCATTATTCAAGAATAGATTTTGTATTATATTTCAATGTGACTGAAAAAAATATTTTTATTCACTTTGATTTGTAGCAAATTAGTTGTAAAATTCATTGTTTTTTTAGATTATCCACAACTTCTGACTTTTTTCTACATTTCTAGATCAATTTTAATAAAACCTCTTAGGAAATCATAATCAATTCTATAATTATACCTTGAGATAATAAGATTGCTTGAATCCATCCTAGCTTAATTTTATTATTTTAATTAAAATACTCATTAAACTCCTTGATATATAAAAATGAACTACACATTTACTTGAATCAATAATAATAATAAAATAATTAGTATTCACTGTAAAAGTAAATACTGATATTGCAACCACCATCTACACAATATAATTCTTTGAATTAAAGACACTACGATAATTATAAACTAATCTGATTTAAAATAAGCTTGTTGAGAGGAGAAGTCCCAAATAAAGTANTTTACATCAGCTAATAATATATAATGCATAATCATCAATAATAATTTTCGTATATATCAATCCATAATCCAACTTTACTACCAATTATCAAATAAGAAGTAAAGGCTCCTCTATATCTCAAAGAAATCCTAATTTGTATACTTTTAAATATTCTTTTTTCTGATTTATGTTTAATAGTGCATTAATGAAGTAAAATTAAGTTCCTATTACTATTGATTCAGTATCAACTTTTTACATCAATTATAAAAACCATTACCTTTGGCTTCTCATTCTGGTCCTTTCCTAATTATGCTATAACATAAAAATCAAATCCATGTTTTAAGAACATTCATTCCATTTCTTGGTTAACACAAAAAAAAAAATCATTATGATCAATCAAGTAAGAAAAATAACATTTGGATTTTATAAGTCATTTTTTTTTGCCATATATCTCAAATTTATTATAAGGTACTTTAAAGCCATTGTAGCATCTATTTATTCTTATCTTAAATTAAAGGTGACAAAAATGGCTATTGCTTTTGAAATAAGACTGGATTTTTGCTTAAAATTGGTCCAAGTGTGTATCGAATTGGAGGAACTCAATTTTAGATGTGATTTTAGGAAATCCAATACTATATAATTTAGAAATTTAATAAAGCTATGAATACTAGATATATCATTTGAAATTAAATATTACAACTTTACAGTTTAATCTTCAAGCAAATCACATTTACATTTTGGTATATTGAATATAATTTATTTCGAATAAATTCAATCCAAGATTCACTAAAGAGGCAACTGATTAGTTATAGGAAAACAGCATTCTATCTAAGGGAGAAGAGGTAACTTTGAAAGTAAATTGATTTTAATATTTTTAGGGGATACAAATATCAATAAAGATTATGGGACAATTAAGTTTGCTATGCTAATGTTTCCTATTTGAGAAATAATGGTTAAACTCATTATAAGAATTAGGATGTGTGAAACAGCGAGAATTAACTACAAACTAATATGTTAATCATTCAAATGTGGATGGATGATATCATGATAATTCAAGCCTATGCTATATAATTTAACAATATTAAAGCTGTAATCTAAATTTACAGACAAGATATCAAAAATTTGTAAATAATATGATTTTATTTTTTGCTTAGCTCTTTTCCAAAAATGAGGAAATTATTTCAATTCATACTCTAGTTTCATTCATAATTATGATATGAACTTTCAATCATATTGGCTATATAAAATTATATTTTTTCTACTATTATGTCCATTCCTTAGGAAGTTCTAAGCTGTGTTGATAATTCAATTGATTTATAAAATCATATTTTGTAAATTGAGAAATATTTTTCTATAAAAACAACACCTGATAGACCTTAAACCTTCTATCATGTGATAATAATATTTATATAATAGTGAGGTAAAGAATGTATTTATTACTGCATAACATTAATCGCCGCATTAATATTTAGATCTTCTTATGTATACCTAGGGCTAATACATAAGGGAGTTAATAATTTTTATTAGAATAACATATGAGTATCATATTCTTAGCTTTTGCAATCGAGTTTCAAAACATATCGAGTACCAACTTAGAAAATAGATCTATCATTGTTGCTATTAATTTACCTATAATATCTAGAGATTTACAAGATATGAAAAATAAATTTAATTAATATATAATATCATAATCTATTTATAATTATAAGATTAAGAATAGATTTTGTATTATATTTCAAAGTGACTGAAAAAAATAATTTTTATTCACTTTGATTTGTAACAAATTAGTTGTAAAATTCATAGTTTTTTTAGATTATCCACAACTTCTGACTTTTTTCTACATTTCTAGATCAATTTTAATAAAACCTCTTAGGAAATCATAATCAATTCTATAATTATACCTTGAGATAATAAGATTGCTTGAATCCACCCTAGCTTAATTTTATTATTTTAAATAAAATACTCATTAAACTCCTATATATATAAAAATGAACTACACATAAAAGTAAATACTGATATCTCAACCACCATCTACACAATATAATTCTTTGAATTAAAGACACTACGATAATTATAAACTAATCTGATTTAAAATAAGCTTGTTAAGAGGAGAAGTCCCAATTAAAGTATTTGTGAATTTTAGCTATAAATCAAGAAAAAAATAAAGAAAAATTATCTGCCAAAATTTTGAATTTAAAACTACTCATATTGGCTACCTTTTGATAGTTTTTGATTAACTTTGAAAATATTTAGTATTATGCTAAAGTACAGAATGAGAAGAATGCCTATGATAACAAGTTGTACAATATCTAAGTAATTTTTGGCTTAGATGTTTTGAGTAGACAATAGAGTTTTAAAAATCATATCCCAGCCATTGAGGAGTAAGACTTTTTATAATCCATAAAGGGACATAAATTTCTCTAATTTTAGCAAATCCTGGCAAATATTATAATAAGATTAACTAAACTTAAAAATGTATTTTGGATTAATGTATAATGACAACTTCGACATATAGTAAAAGAACCTAGAACAAAATATCCATGAGTATAAAACTCTTTTAATCCATTTCATCAATAATATAAGGAATAAAAATCCCAAGCATTAAAGTATTTGGCAAGAAAGATTTGTTAGTAAGTTTGTGCTTTATTTATACATTTTAAATTTTCCATTAGAATATTCTTAATTTGACTAAATATCAATAATCTAGAAGAATTGTGGAAATTGCATAAAATCCAAGAGAGGTTGAATAGTTATCAGATCATTAATAGAAAAATAAATCTCTAGATTTTCAGGGAATAATAAATTGAGATATCTTAAGTACTGCTAAAATTAAAGGATCGCCAAAATTTCAACAAATAAATCTCCACTTCCTAATAGAAGACTTACTGCAGTAATCCCAGATAAACTATAAATTAAATATTCATTAACACTTTTCAAACTTTAAGAATATTGCTTCTGTGTTTCATCTAGATATTTTGGGTATTCTAATTTAATGTATTTTTCAGAATCAACCAAAACAACACCCATGATATTAGCAACTGTTTGATTTACTCCAATTTTCAAGACTGGCCTAAAGTCAAGCAGTTAGTTAACTTCTATTTAAATAACGTACTCTCCAAAACTTAAATATGATTCAACATCCTATATTATAAATAAGCTGCTGTTCCAGTGCTTTTTGTCTATTTCTAATAATTCAAAATATATAGTTTCTGATAAGGGTTATGATGTATATATCTATACTTATTAATTAAATTAGAGGCTAATATATTATTTATTTTAAGTCATATTAAGATAATTTATTCCTAGGTTTGGAGCTTGAACAAAAGTGCATTAGCTAGGAGAATCTCTTGTTATTGTTATGCAAATCCAATTTTATTCAATTAAACAATCATAGCATCCATCGGCTGCTTCATAATTTCCATCATCACATTCCTCTTATTCGTAAAGCAATCCATCTCCGCATTTTAATTATAATTTGCATTCATTCGAAATTAATAACTCGTATTGATAATTGCACTCTAAACAATTACCTTTATAGCAATCAATACAATTTTCTGGACAAGAATACTTGCACTAAAAACAACCATCAAACTATATTGAATTTCCATCATCGCAATCTTCTTCTTTTGTGACCATTTGGTCACCACAAACAGAGTGACAACTATCGTTTATAAATTAATATCCTTCTGAGCACTTCAAAATGCATTATCCTCGATTACATATGTTGCAATCTTCAATACATTGGAATTTGCATTAATAGCATCCATCATAAGGTTGTAAATTTCCATCATCGCAATCCTCATATTATTCCAGAATGATTTTATCTCCGCAATTAGGATAACATACATTTTCTATCATCTAAAATCCTATATCACACTCCAAGCAAATTGAAAAGTAGTGAGTTTTACAATCAGCAATTTAAATAAATCTGCAATCCTTACAACCATCCCATACCCCATTAACTGCCAATTCACATTACTCAACTGAATATGGAGTTAAATTAACATCTCCACACACAGGATCACAAGTAAATCCAACAAGTGTAAATCCATCTATACATTGTAAACAAATTCCAAATTAACAAATTTAACAAAATTGTACACATTAATATTTACATTAAAAACATGTATGATTAGATGTTAGATTATGATCATCACATTCTTCTTGACCTTCTATAATTCCATTTCCACAAATTGGATGACAATTTTCAAAGAATTCAGCTTAAATCCAACCTTCTTGGCAAATCAGACATTTCTCATCAATTTACTCTAAACAACCTTCATTTAAAGTTGGAACCTTTATTAATGGCTCTGTATAAAATAATTCAAAATCTCTTATTTGGCCAGGATATGAACCTGGGATTTTAAAATTTAATGATAATATAGGATCTTAATGATTTCTTATCAATATTTCTATTAAATAATGATAATTAATAACTTTTTTACCATATAAGTAATTTACTATTAAAGTATTCCTATCAATTTTAAAAAACCTGATTAATACATCTTAATGAGGAGGTAATTCAGTAGAATAATTAAGCTCAAGAAATTACTAAAATTAGCATCCTCCACAACCAAACATTTAATATTAACTATTATTTGATACAAAAGTCCATCCATCTAAATTTTGGCTTAGNAAAATAAATCTCTAGATTTTCAGGGAATAATAAATTGAGATATCTTAAGTACTGCTAAAATTAAAGGATCGCCAAAATTTCAACAAATAAATCTCCACTTCCTAATAGAAGACTTACTGCAGTAATCCCAGATAAACTATAAATTAAATATTCATTAACACTTTTCAAACTTTAAGAATATTGCTTCTGTGTTTCATCTAGATATTTTGGGTATTCTAATTTAATGTATTTTTCAGAATCAACCAAAACAACACCCATGATATTAGCAACTGTTTGATTTACTCCAATTTTCAAGACTGGCCTAAAGTCAAGCAGTTAGTTAACTTCTATTTAAATAACGTACTCTCCAAAACTTAAATATGATTCAACATCCTATATTATAAATAAGCTGCTGTTCCAGTGCTTTTTGTCTATTTCTAATAATTCAAAATATATAGTTTCTGATAAGGGTTATGATGTATATATCTATACTTATTAATTAAATTAGAGGCTAATATATTATTTATTTTAAGTCATATTAAGATAATTTATTCCTAGGTTTGGAGCTTGAACAAAAGTGCATTAGCTAGGAGAATCTCTTGTTATTGTTATGCAAATCCAATTTTATTCAATTAAACAATCATAGCATCCATCGGCTGCTTCATAATTTCCATCATCACATTCCTCTTATTCGTAAAGCAATCCATCTCCGCATTTTAATTATAATTTGCATTCATTCGAAATTAATAACTCGTATTGATAATTGCACTCTAAACAATTACCTTTATAGCAATCAATACAATTTTCTGGACCAGAATACTTGCACTAAAAACAACCATCAAACTATATTGATTTTCCATCATCGCAATCTTCTTCTTTTGTGACCATTTGGTCACCAGTGACAACTATCGTTAATAAATTAATATCCTTCTGAGCACTTCAAAATGCATTATCCTCGATTACATATGTTGCAATCTTCAATACATTGGAATTTACATTAATAGCATCCAGCATAAAATTGTAAATTTCCATCATCGCAATCCTCATATTATTCCAGAATGATTTTATCTCCGCAATTAGGATGACATACATTTTCTATCATCTAAAATCCTATATCACACTCCAAGCAATTGAAAAGTAGTGAGTTTTACAATCAGCGATTTAAATAAATCTGCAATCCTTACAACCATCCCATACCCCATTAACTGCCAATTCACATTACTCAACTGAATATGGAGTTAAATTACCATCTCCACACACAAGATCACAAGTAAAACCAACAAGTGTAAATCCATCTATACATTGTAAACAAATTCCAAATTAACAAATTTAACAAAATTGTACACATTAATATTTACATTAAAAACATGTATGATTAGATGTTAGATTATGATCATCACATTCTTCTTGACCTTCTATAATTCCATTTCCACAAATTGGATGAAAATTTTCAAAGAATTCAGCTTAAATCCAACCTTCTTGGCAATTCAGACATTTCTCATCAATTTACTCTAAACAACCTTCATTTAAAGTTGGAACCTTTATTAATGGCTCTGTATAAAATAATTCAAAATCTCTTATTCGGCCATGATGTGAACCTGATTGGATTTTAAAATTTAATGATAATATAGGATCTTAATGATTTCTTATCAATATTTCTATTAAATATTCATAACTAATAACTTTTTTACCATATAAGTAATTTACTATTAAAATATTCCAATCAATTTAAAAAAACCTGATTAATACATCTTAATGAGGAGGTAATTCAGTAGAATAATTAAGCTCAAGAAATTACTAAAATTAGCACCCTCCACAATCAAACATTTAATATTAACTATTATTTGATACAAAAGTCCATCCATCTAAATTTTGGCTTAGTTTATCATTTAATGAGTATTAATGTAGCTTCCATTTTAATATGTTGCATGATAATTCTCGATGCATCCAGCACATTCATATTAACATTTAATAATACTTAATTTTTAGTGAAATTAATCCTCCATCAAATAAATAAAATTTCATCCAAACAGTTCTTCTTTTGTGCTGAAGAGTTGTAGAAATATTATAAAAATATATTAATGTTTAACCGTAGTATTTCTAACTGTAAGAGAACTAATAATCTTGATATGATTAATCTATCAAAAAATGAGGCATATAATAGTAATCATCGCTTTGTAATTAAGAAAATAATTACCTTAGAATATATGCATCAACTATACAATGAGAATGAGATTCTAGATTTAAAAATATCCTGCTAATGATAGGCCCAAAATATTCAACATCTCCACAAATTCTAAAATATCCACCTACCCATTCTATTATGTAAGTAATGATACATTACCATCACTGAAATTTGAACTTACATTAAACTAATAGATCTCAATCTAAGTTTGACGAGTTATATATATTAAAAAGATGAATATTATCATTATTAGAAATATTTGAATTTTGTCTATAAATAAAACTTATTTATTGCACAAAATTTAGGTCTACCATTATTTTAATAACACAAACATATAAATTCATTTTGGCATTAATTTTTATCTTCTATACCTATAAGCTCCTTAAAATTCAATCATTTTTTCAACTTATAAAGATAAATGTTTTTCCATCAATGAATAATTAATAATTAGTTAATCGATACATATATGAATATTTCAATAATTAATAATTTTAACATATAAAATGCCTTTTATAAAGTGATCCGTCTATTTATCTTTCAATCATTTATTCAGTCTAAGCATAAATAAATTATGAATTTTTGTTATTTAAATTCATATGCAATATATTACTATTATTATTAGCCATTCTTTTTAATTAATTCCAAACTTATTGTATTGGATTTAATACAGGGCAATATTCAGGTAAAAATATGTAAGTAACTCTATTTAAAAATTCTTTGATCAATTTGCTAATGTATTGGACTATTATCTAACACTACTGCAAATTCTTATTCTTTATAAAATTATAGCTTATTTTGTTATTTATTATTGATGAAACAAATAAAATGAGAATTCAAAATTCATAATTATTTGTTAGTAGGCTACGAATCCTTAATTCCCAATTCCTCGAAATACGAATGACCAAAGGTAGTTTCATCAAGAAATATAAATTATTATTCAAGAGAGCTTAAACTTAAGCAGCTAAGAGAGAATTAATATTAATTTTAGATAGAAATTAATCTTATAATTTTCTATTTCTTGTTTTTGTTTGTCGATATGATGCTTTGCATTATTTCTTCATAATAATAGTTACGAAATATTTTCAAAATTCAGAATTAGTAATAACTAGAAGATTTCAATTTAATTAAAACATAAATTTAATCGAAGAGTAATTTATATTTGCTTTTTCTAATCAGTATAAATCTATAATTAACAGCTGTCTAACACTACAATTTTTATTCTTATTCTTAGTTTCGCAATATAATTAAAAGCTAATTTTTTCATAATACATATGGGTTAAATAATTGAACAAAGTATAGTTTCTAAGTTACTAATTCAATTTAATTAAGGTAAAATTTTAAAGTTATTAAACCAATAAGTGATAAATAAATTATAATTCTTTTTATATGTAACAATTATCAAAGGGAAATTGCTAAACTAGATTCTTTAATTGATTGCCGGTGTTGTTTTTTGCTAATCGAAATGGTTCAGCATTTAATTATTATGCATTATTTTTCAGAATAATATTTGATAGTTTAAGAAAAATTTTATAATTGTATAAAGAGATAAGGGCTGAAAAAAAATTAAAAGAAATCTTAATAAAAAGAGATCAAGAACAATATCCAAAGATATTTAAAAAAAGAAAGAAGGTTTCTAAATTATATTTAATTTAGGAATATTATTTAATGTTAAAATGCAAAATTGAAGAACATTAATTTTAAAATTATAGGGATAGGACGAAGAATTAATCATGATGCTGAATTGAAATTTCACTTAAAAGTTTGAGAGATATGGATGAGACTGTAGAGTATAGGTCCAGTGAAATATTCATATCTCTAGTAAGTTATGAATGAGATTTGGGCTTATAATATGTGGTTAATAAATGTTACAATAATAGAGTAATTAGGGAGTTTACTGACTAAAGATATTAATGGCAAATCAATAACAATGCTATGAAGTATTGATTTGCTTGACATAAAATAGCCGGAGCATCTTAAAAGTGTCCTAATTAAATCATTCGCATTATTTAATATTATACAACTTAGAGTAAAATCAATTTAGTTAAGCTATTTGATATAAAAGTAATTTGTCTAGAATTCTATTAAAATCCCTGATGGTTATATAATATATCATTTTAAGAATTGATTAATTAAGATTATTGAAATGAAAAAGCTATTTTCAAATTTCAAGGGATAATTTAGTTTTGAGAAAAGGAGGACTCCTTTTGAGGGCAAAATAATTCAGCATCGCTTCATAAAGAGACTTAAGAAGTGTTCTCAATTATTTAATATCTCATTTAGAAGTTCAGGGAGATTTGGTAAATGATTAACCTTGTTTAAAAATATTATTCATAAGAAGTTCTTAACCTAGAATAGGAAAATCAACAGAAAAATATTATAGAAGGATTTTGCTGTCATTTACTTGAAAAAAACCTCGAATCATTAATCAACAGATTCAATTAGGAATTAAAATATATAACTGCCTTATTAATCTTCTATATATATTAATACTCCTTTTATAAGTCAAAACATAAATTACTACTAGAATGATTCCAGATTTAAGACTTTTTATTTTATTGCAACCATGAGTGAAAGTTTATAAAAAATTTCATTCCAAACAAAATGTATTGTTGACCAAGAGGTACAATGGATCTTGTGGAGCAAATAAAATAAGTCATATAAATTTGTAACGTATAGCAGTAATCATATCCAAATCTGACTCTTGAAAAGCAATCATATAATTCAGAATAAACTGTAACCGAGAAGTAGAGCTAGATTATTAAACAAGGTTAGAACTGGAGTCTTTAAATATAAAATGATATGATATGATTCAAACTTTAGGGATTTTTGATCAAGAATTCTTAGAGTTTATCAATGTATTTATGAAATTATTATGGAACTATTGAAAAATATTTGATAGAAGAATACGATAATAAAGAGAGGAGATCTGGGAGAAAATTAAAATAAATGAGAAGAGAAGGAAAATTTATGTATAAAAGAATGAAATAATTTAACAACAATGAATGAAGAATCTCAAGTAATTAATTACAGTGTAGTGAAGGAATTGGGTAAAAAGAAGGACCGGTCTATTTAAAGGTTTCATAATGGCTTATAATTTAAAGATGAAGGTTTCCTAAATTTTGTAAAAATATACTATCGTCAATAATTGATTAACCAATTAACATTAAAAAAAGAGAGAAATNATTTGGGCTTATAATATGTGGTTAATAAATGTTACAATAATAGAGTAATTAGGGAGTTTACTGACTAAAGATATTAATGGCAAATCAATAACAATGCTATGAAGTATTGATTTGCTTGACATAAAATAGCCGGAGCATCTTAAAAGTGTCCTAATTAAATCATTCGCATTATTTAATATTATACAACTTAGAGTAAAATCAATTTAGTTAAGCTATTTGATATAAAAGTAATTTGTCTAGAATTCTATTAAAATCCCTGATGGTTATATAATATATCATTTTAAGAATTGATTAATTAAGATTATTGAAATGAAAAAGCTATTTTCAAATTTCAAGGGATAATTTAGTTTTGAGAAAAGGAGGACTCCTTTTGAGGGCAAAATAATTCAGCATCGCTTCATAAAGAGACTTAAGAAGTGTTCTCAATTATTTAATATCTCATTTAGAAGTTCAGGGAGATTTGGTAAATGATTAACCTTGTTTAAAAATATTATTCATAAGAAGTTCTTAACCTAGAATAGGAAAATCAACAGAAAAATATTATATAGAAGGATTTTGTTGTCATTTATTTGAAAAAAACCTCTAATCATTAATCAACAGGTTCAATTAGGAATTAAAATATATAACTGCCTTATTAATCTTCTATATATATTAATACTCCTTTTATAAGTCAAAACATAAATTACGACTAGAATGATTCCAGATTTAAGACTTTTTATTTTATTGCAACCATGAGTGAAAGTTTGTAAAAAAATTTCATTCCAAACAAAAAGTATTGTTGACCAAGAGGTACAATGGATCTTGTGGAGCAAATCAAATAAGTCATATAAATTTGTAACATATAGCAGTAATCATATCCAAATCTGACTCTTGAAAAGCAATCATATAATTCAGAATAAACTGTAACCGAGAAGTAGAGCTAGATTATTAAACAAGGTTAGAACTGGAGTCTTTAAATATAAAATGATATGATATGATTCAAACTTTAGGGATTTTTGATCAAGAATTTTCAGAGTTTATCAATGTATTTATGAAATTATTATGGAACTATTGAAAAATATTTGATAGAAGAATACGATAATAAAGAGAGGAGATCTGGGAGAAAATTAAAATAAATGAGAAGAGAAGGAAAATTTATGTATAAAAGAATGAAATAATTTAACAACAATGTATGAAGAATCTCAAGTAATTAATTACAGTGTAGTGAAGGAATTGGGTAAAAGGAAGGACCGGTCTATTTAAAGATTTCATAATGGCTTATAATTTAAAGATGAAGGTTTCCTAAATTTTGTAAAAATATACTATCGTCAATAATAGATTAACCAATTAACATTAAAAAAAGAGAGAAATCATAAAGGCAGAAATGGATAAAATAAAACTAGAACTAAAATTAACATTAAAATAGACAAAGAGTTAGGTTCTTCTATGTATGTAATTATTTATCAAATCTTGGATACCATTCAGTTTACATATTTCTTCCTTTTTTATTACATTAATTTATACATTTCCATATAGTAGATTTTATCTTAATTATATTACAATAATTTCTTCTAATAAATTCCCTTAATTTATTCGAATTAATTCTCTGT